ACCCAAACCTCCCCAGAAAATGAACAGAAACTGACCCAAATCACCCCCAAAAAAGGACCCCAATCTTTCCCAAATCTCCCCAAAAAATGAACAGAAACTGACCCAAATCACCCTAAAAGGCGACCAGACACTGATTCAAATCTCCCCAAAACATGGTCCAAAACTGTCCCAAATCTCCCCAAAAAACTCCCAGAAACTGACCCAAATCACCCCAAAAAAGGACCAGAAACTGACCCACATCTCCCCAAGACAGGACCCAAAACTCAGGAAAAACACCCCAAAAAACGATCCTATACTCACCTAAATCACCCCAAAAAGTGACCCAAAATTCTGGCAAATCACACCAAAATATGGCCCCAAAACTGACCAAAATCTCCCCAAAACATGGTCCAACACTGTCCCAAATCTCCCCCAAAAAAGGACCTGAAATTGACCCAAACCTCCCCAGAAAATGAACAGAAACTGACCCAAATCACCCAAAAAACTGACCCCAAAAACTGACCCAAATCACCCCAAAAAATTACCTCAATCTTTCCCAAACCTCCCCAGAAAATGAACAGAAACTGACCCAAATCACCCCAAAACTCTGCCTTTATTTGGCCTCATTTCCTCTCAAAAACAACATCTCCAATTTAGTTGACTGCTAAAGCCATCATTTTAAAATCATCCCAGGAATCAAAAGGGACTGGCAAAACACACAGAAAGCAATCCTACACCCACCAAATCCTTAGGAATTGGAACCCCATTCCCTCCTCTCCCTCCTTGTTTTTCTCGGCTGGCAAACCTGATGATCCCCGCTGGCTATTCTGAGGCTGCTTTTCTTCCACAGCTCCTTTCTCCCGGCTGAAACCTCCCGGCATATTCAGGGCTTATCCGGAGGGAAGTCCCTCGGAAGTATTTCCTCTCGTGGCAATTCTGTGGGACGAAGAAGTAAAAAAAGCCCGTCAGGAGCTCCTTCTCCCCCCTTCCCTCGCAAACACCCTCCCGGTTTGTCCTCGGCAGCTCCATCCCCCCCTGGCACCCGCCCCCGACGCTTCGGCTCCCCTGGGAAAGGGACAGCAAGGGCAGGAGCAAGCTCAGTGCTGGGCAGGGGCTCCCTGGGGAACGGCACTTCCGTGCTTTAGTCCGGGGCCTTTCCTGCTGCCCTCCCTCCCGGAGGCAGAGGATGACCCCTCCCTTGTTCCTCCCACGCTCGCAGACCCAGGGTCCTGCTCTTTTGGCCCCACTTTTCTTAGCAGACCCGGCATCATTTTCCAGGCTCCCCAGGAAACTTCTGCACTTGACCCATTGCTAAGTGCAGAGCACAGGGCAAGGCAAGGACAAATTTCTCAGCACCCACCACCTGGAACTTTCCTTCTCTGCAGCACGCTCCCGTTCCCGCTGTCTCTGGAGGCGCCCGCACGAGTCCTCCTTGTCCCAGCCCTGCCAAACTGACACACACACAGGAGAAATAACAGGTCTTGCTTGCATAATTCCCGACCCCAACCCTTGCCTGTCCTGCCCAGAGCTCAGAGAAATCTGATGGAATATTAATAAACCACCTTTGTTAAGAGCAGTCATCAGCCCGGTCCTTCAGGCTTTGCAGGAGTTTGTAGGGAACAGACCCAAATTCCAGTCCTACCTCTAAATTTCTAACAGCTTGCCTCGGAGAGATTCTGGACAGTAACACATACAACGGAAAGAAAAGACTGCACAAGGAGTAACAGCAGGTTTGCCACAAAGAACAGAAGTTCCTGTTCTCCCTCATCAGGCTGGGACTGTAGCACCCAGTCTTTGCCATCGAGAGACCAGAGCGTTGTCATTAAGACTTAAACCTCTCCCCCATGGGTGTTTCTCAGAGAACTGGGCCAGCACTGAGCTACTCCCATGTGCCTGCAGTGGTTTGGGGAGGGGCAAGACAACCTCCCACTTCTGCTTGGAAGAGAATGAAAAGTCATTCCCCTTCTCTCTCTAACCCAGCACCAAAGCAGTCATGTAGGACAACACCAGACTATGCACGGAAGGCCTGATTCAACTGGGAAAGAAAAAAAACCCTAAACAAACAAACCCACCCTGAATTTCAAGGTAAAAATACGCTGCTCCCTGAACAGGAGCACACAAAATGCACTGAAGCCAGAGAGAAAATGACAAAGCAGGAAAAAAAAAAGAGCCAAAAGAAATGCTCTGCCTGCCTTGATACGCTTTCTGCTTGATCATTCCAAAGGGAATTCTCCACAGATCAGAAGCAATTACCAATCATTTGTCCTCTGTAACAGTTAATGAACGACTTGGGTATCTGTTGAGGGGCTGGACATGTCCAGTGAGGGTTCAGGGTCTGGTGGGTTGTTTATGGCAGATCCTGACCGGCCCAGGCCAAACCCAACCACCCCCATCGCTGCTCCATCTCACATGGAGAATATTGATACTGTATAGAAATACTCCCCTTCACTGCTACTCCATCCTTCCTTACACATGCGTGGAACAGGTTTTCTCCACCCTTTGTTCCCAGCAACAGCTCTCCAGCCCGAATCCCAGCTCCCACAGACACAAACCAAACACACCTAAGGCGATGGTTCCATCAACACCTGGAATTCCAAGCTCCCCGTTTCCTGGAATGCTCATTGCAACACTCACAGCAATCTCACCTCAGCCCACAGGCTCTCTGTCCTCAGAGGCAAACACAGCCTGCTCTAGCACCACATTTCCTTTCACTCCTGGTCTCCTGCAAACCCCCAGGGAAATCCAGTCCCTCAGACCCTGCATCCCTGGACATGAGGGGAACTGGAGTTTGACCCGGATCCCAGCGTCCTGGACAAGTGTGTTCCCAGGAGCACATGCCTGTGGCTCCATCCAGCCCATCCATCCCTCCTTTCTCCCCAGGGAGTCCCAAACCCTCCCCCAGCTCCACTGCACCTGTCCCACGGCCCAGCCCAGCTCCAGGCTCTCCCCCAGCGCCGTGTCAGCTCCAGCCCTGGCAGAGCTGCAAACACCTCCCAGCTTGGTCCCCTGGGCTCCTGAACCCCCAAGCCAAGGCTCGGGCTCACCAACGGGGACCCACCTGCCCCTCTCAGCACAGCCCAACCCCACAACTCAGGGACCCCAGGCTCACCTTTGCCCCTTCCTCTCCACTCTTCCCAGCAGACACGGCAAGGACCAGAGTGGAGTGGGAAAAAGAGCCAGTGCCCAGGGAGCAAATGCCAACAGCCAGGAGGAGAGAAACGTGTCCCTCTGACTTACCCCACCCCACAAGAAGATTCAGGGAAGTTTTACTGCAGCTTTCCAGTAAATAAAGAGATTTATGAGAAAAATGAAGAGACTTTCTACCAAGGTTTCTACTGATAGGACAAAGGATAATGGTTTTCAACTGAAAGGGACATACTAACAAAATTTTTCATGATGCCAGTGGAGAGATATTAGAGCACACTGCACAGGGAAGCCGAGGCTGCCCCATCCCTGGAAGTGTTCCAGGCCGGGCTGGACGGGACTCGGAGCAACCGGGGACAGTGGAAGGTGTCCCTGCCCACGGAAGACGGGGTGGCCTTTGAAGGTCCCCTTCAAACCAAATCGCTCTGGGATTCCCCTCCAAAATCCCTACCAAAGAGGCACAGCAATCAAAGCAGAGGGACTGCACTCCCAGCTTTTCTTACCTGCAGGCACGCTGGACATAAAAGCCACAGGCTCAGTCCTGCCAGAGGCGTCCGGCACATCCACGGCGACCGAAGGGAAAGAGGGAGCCTGGGAACACGGAGTAAAAGACACTTTAATTAGGACTGCACCGAGCAATAGCCAGGTCATTCCCACAGACAGCTTCGCCGGCCAGTCACACGAAAAGCACTTACCCAGCAGGGCCTCAGTTAGGATGGCTCCTGACGCTGACCAGGCGAACGCCTCCGTTTGCCCCGGGGGGTCAAGAAGAACATCCCTGGTAAGAAGTCACCCCGAAGGACAAAAAGGGAAAATTAGTGAAGCACGGGCTCCTCTTCTGACTAGACTGCCACCGGCATTCAACAGCAAATGCCACGACTATTCTGTTACAGACGAGAAAACCCTGTTCTCCCAAACAAACAGCGAGGAGATCTATGAGCACGCCTGAAAATCTCCTGCGAGGAACTTTGAATTCCCCCGCAGAAGCCCAAATTCACCGAACGCCTGCTGAACTCAGCAGGGGCACACTCCCTCAAGCCCAAGGCATGCTTAGGGCGCCTCCGACTCCGGATTTAAGGTCGGAGAAGCTCGGCAGGGCCAAAACACCGCCGCTTTCCCACGGGCGTCGCTTCCCAGCCCGCCCCCGAGCGCCGGGCCCTGCCTCACAGTCGCCGCCTGGCGGACACGGCCGGGAGCGGCACTGCAGCCGCGCGCGCCACTGCAGCCGCGCGCCCCCCCCCCCTCGGCGAGACGCGCGGCGCCTTTCGCGAGTACGGGCCTTTCTTCCCTAAAACCTGCCCTTCCCTAGGGAAAGCTGAGCAATTCACAGAGTTGCTGTTTCCAGCCCAGCTTCCCGAAGGATTTCTCTCTCCCACGTGGCAGCACAGACAGGGTCCCCGAGGCAGCGCAGACCCTCCCCGCGGGGGGGGGGGAAGGGGCCGGGGGGGGTGTGCAATGCCAGGGCACATCCGAACCCGGCTCTGCGGCGGCACGCAGGTGCAAGTTTCTCCGCAGAGGCGAGAAACT